AACCACTGACAGGGAAATACCAATGAAAAACAACAAAAAAACTTCACTTGTCTTTCAATGTTTTCTCATTGATATTTATGCTTTTAAATAAGGGAATTAGAAAGTTGAAGTTATGTTTATTGGATTACTTTTAGGGTGAATGATGTTTGCCTTAAAGGTGTGTTTTCAAAACCAGATTGTCACAATGCCTAACAGAAATGAACTTTTGTAAAGAAAGCTAATATATTACATTCACTTGTTCAGTTGAATTTTCCCATTCAATGATTATACATTAATTCCAATGTATGAATTTTTGAGGGTGTCCTTATGGGTTTCTTATGCAAGAAACACGGTTGTAAAAGCTGCCATGTTATTTATATATTATTATCCATATTGATACAATATTATGCAATAACTAGATAGGTTTGAGATAAGAAAGTGTGAAGCTGAAAGTTCTCTTAAAATAATTTGACTATTGGACTCTGGTGCTAGCTGAGCAATAGATACAAATTCAGGTGAGATCCAGTCATTCAGTCAAAGAGAATAGAGAGCAAAGATAGTGCCAGGGATGCATGGATTCGATAGCAGTCTGTTTGGACTTGAAGGTCGGCATGTTCTTCCCCAAGGAGATGCAGTGAAGGCCTGTGGCCAGGAAGTCCACACCCATCTTCTGAGCAGGAATAAATTCCATGACTTGAGGAGCTTTTTACTCATTATACAGGGTAGGTTAGAGAGGATATGTGCCCGGGAAGGATGTAGAAACAGCATGAAATCAAAAAGAGAAGGCAGACTTTTCAAAAGCTAGAAAGAAGATAACATAGAGGCCGAATTCAGGTGACTGTTCAAAGACAATTTCCAAAATCCTCTTCTTTGCTGGACTCTGTACTTGCTTTATGTCCCTGTCCTTTCATATAAATACTCAAAAATGACCAAATGTACCAAAAGGAGCATTTCTTTCTTCTTACGACATTTGCTAGTGACTCTGGGAAGAGGACCTGAGACTAATGTAGAGAAAAAATGCACTTCAGTCAGTATTATGAATCATATTAAATAACATGCAAAACTACTTATTTTTATCAGAGTAAAAAATACTTATAAAGTCCTCTGAAGTGCATTGTATACTTTTCTCATAATGGGGTTGTGGATTTGGCCACACTCTTTTTCCTTGTCCTTTATATGTTAAGTTGTGCCTTTTGTTCTTAAGAGATTTTTCTTTGTTCAAAATACGTTTCTGGCATTTCACAAATCCGAAACATATTGAAGAAACAGGATATATCATTCCAATTTTTCCTTGGATTGGAAGAATCTCTTATGGTGGCACAGTCCTCCAGGCTAAGTATGTTGTTAGGCTCACCTTCGTCCCAGAAGCTGAAAAAGAGTGACATGGGAGATTTTAAATACCAGCAAAAAAGATAAAGTGACCTCATCTACTAGGCTAGGCAAATTATATTTGTGTTATTTAACTTCACAGCAACTTTGTGAGGTAGGTATTATAATCTTGATTTTATTGGTGAAGAAAAGGAATTTTGGAAAAATGAAATCATCTGTCTAAGTCATAGAGTTTGCAAGTACTGAAGCTGAAGTGGATCTTTCTGATTTTATATTCTGCCATGCTCCTTCACGGTTTTAGACATAGAATGAGAAGTTATGGGAAAGACTGATACCCTGATGCTTTTGTTTCCTTTGCACTCACATCTCATATCAGGTTTGATTCCCTTTATTCTGCATAGAAGTATGAACTTAAGTGCATCCTTCAATGACGTTACAGTGCAGTAGTGAAGCAACATTTCTGAAGTACCAGAGTATCTGGGCTATACTCTTAAAACTGTTGCTTATGGCCAGGTGTGGTGGCTCATGCCTGTAATCCTAGCATTCTGGGAGGCCGAGGCAGGTGGATCGCTCAAGGTCAGAGACTGGTTTGAGACCAGCCTGAGCAAGAGTGAGACCCTGTCTCTACTATAAATAGAAAGAAATTAGCCAAAAACAACTAAAAATAGAAAAAATTAGCCAGACATCATGGCGCGTGCCTGTAGTCCCAGCTACCTGGGAGGCTGAGTCAGGAGGATCGCTTGAGCCCAGGAGTCTGAGGTTGCTGTGAGCTAGGCTGATGCCATGGCATTCTAGCCCAGGCAACAGAGCAAGACTCTGTCTCAAAAAAAACAAAAAAACAAAAAAACAAAACAACCTGTTGCTTATTATCTGTGTAAGTCATTTAATCCTTCTGACTTTTAGTTTCCTCAAATACTAAATAAAGATGAATAACACTGCTATATCTCAGGAAGGTGTAATTTGGGTAAAATGAAATAATGAATGAGAAAAAAACTTTGAAAACTCCAAAATGTTCTGCTCTAACGATATTAATGCCATTATTAAGGAGAAAAGAGACATCATCATGGGATTCCCACTTTCACTCCATAAGAATCTGCTGTCTTTTTCAAATAACTTTTTTTCCACGTTTACTACAGTTTTGGAGCTTAAGACTCTTAATTTCATCTTTGCCTCATCTTCATTTTCAATGGATGATTCTTCAACTCTAATCCCCTTCTCATTTTCATCTATTAGTTCTCCTTTATTCTTGAGACAGTCCGAGGAAGTGGGAGAGGTGAGTGCTTGTACTTCTCTTTTTTCTGTTCTACCCCAGTTCTTTTTTTTTTTTTTTTTTTACCAGCTTTTCTTCTTCCTGTATCTAACACCACCAAGCATAGACCTGACCATATCTCACGTCACAGAAGGAGGTTCTGAGAACTCCAACTGCAGTCTAGTTTAGGATTTGGGGTGGTACTAGAATTCTCCTACAAGAGGGTAAGTACCTCAGAGATTCTGTGAGAAGTGTGCCGTCCACCCATTCCCACTGACCCTCCACCACCTGGTCCGTCAATCCAATATAAAACTCTTTGTTGTTAGGTTTCACGTGGAAAAGGAATTCCTATGAAACATACACAATAAAAAATAGGAGATCAATTATTTCAGTTCTGAACAAATATTGAAGGTAGTTGTTAGAAGAAACAAAATATGATCTGGACTAGACAGAATAGATAAATGGGCCTGAAGTTAGAAGACCTTGGAGGATTATCTACTGACTTTTTTATTGTGGTAAAATATATATAAATCAAATTAAGCTGACACAAAATAACTTTCAACAGAGGAGAGTCTGAATAATTCCTCCAAATTTTATCTACTGTTATTGGTAGCCAAATCTACTGTATATTTCCAGCACAAAACATTATTAATCACAGCTTAAAGATAATGGACAATGTTTGCTTGTCTTCCTTCATATGTTCATAAATACAATGATCATATATTTGTTCATAAATGTAATGATCATTGTAAACTTAACTCCCAAACTTCTTTTTCTCCCCCTGACTAACTAAAGGAACTTCCCATGGAAATATTCGTTTTCTTAGGTTCTTCTAGTAATGGAAATAAATTGAAGTAGATAGTGGCATAAAGAAATAGCAGGAACAGCATGCATTTCAGCACATTCATTTAACAAACAGTCACTGAGGGCCAAACACTGTGCACTTGTATGGAAAAGGGGATGGGCGCTGTGAAGAATGTCACATTGACACTGGAGGAGCCTGTTCTCCACCTACCTGTTCCTCCAGTGTGTTGATAACCACCAGGTGAGCCCCCATGGCCGAGCAGTTTTTTAAACTTGATGTCCAGGTCAGAGTGTTAGTAGAAAAGAAGTAGCAGCTAGATTGAAAATGTTTCCAGTTCAATGGACAGCAATTCTTGACTGAACCTAGGAGGAAAGAAATTTCAGTAAGTGTCTCAGGTGACCTGAATAAGGAAACATAAAGCTTCATTTGGCCCCATGGAGTGCATCATTTACAGTCAGAAGCACTGGGATCCCTTATTCACACCCCACATCTTATTATCTAAGACATTAGATAATTCCAATGTCAATATACATAAAAAGCAATTTTCTTGTCTTTTGAGTATAATCCTTATTTGCTAGACGCCAGTGCCAGGAAATGCAACAGTATACACAATCCATCTCAGTTACAGTATTGATACAGAGCCCTATTCTCTGTTCTTAGACTGCCAAGGTCAGAGAAAGTTGTGCATTTTATTTGGTGACCCCTAAGCAGCCGTCTCTTATGTTGCCCAAACAATGTACCCTTAATCAAATCTCCAAACTGTGGTGTACGGATAGGTTAGATATCCTAGAATTACAGAACTTCAGACTTTTTTTTTTTTTTGAGTCAAATTGTGAGTGTTTATTAGCTGGCCAGCGACCACCCCTGTCCTGCCAGAGTACAGGTACAGAGAATGGCCCTGAGCCCTGAAAGCAGAGGGGTTTTATAACCTTTCACTATAAGGGAGCACGTGACTCTGTGCATACAGCTGGGAACAGTGTTGAAATAATTTCTGGCACCCGGGGGTCTGGGACCTGCCTCAGAGCCCCCGGTTTGATTACAATCTTTAGGCAAGCGAGTTTACAGAAGCAGATAGCACTGGTGAAGGCAAGATACATTTTTTTCCTGAGTTAAGCAAACAGTGAAATTTACCTACATACAGGGGGAGAATTCAAACAATCAGTTATGCGTCAATTACGTTGTTTTTCTGTTCCCAATGCATACTTAGGTGGCTCATAGGTCATGCTGCGGCCAGCCTGCCTTCAGATGGCTGCCATTTGCAATGTGGCTGCGCTGTGGCTCACAGAGGGGAGAGCCATCTAACATTCCCCACTGGTTTTTTTGCTAGAATCAAATCCTTGATTCATCTCTGCATATGTGGCGATAATGGGTGTGCAATGCCATGACCTTTACACTTTGTATGTTTTTTATATGTATGATAACTGGCCATTAAGAATGCATGGGTCTGGGGAGGGGGGAGGAGGGGACAGGTATACGCATACACAAAGAGTGCACACACTTGAAACCCGGACTTGGGGGGAGGAAGGGGGGAGAAGGGCAACATACGCAACCGAAACATCTGTACCCCCATAACATCCTGAAATAAAAAACTATATACATAAAAAAAGAATGCACGGTCCTATTAATAAGGCTAAGAGAAACAGAACTAGTGGCTGACAGAAGTCTTTAGTTTACTGAGATTTAAAGATTACTCTGTTGACTCAGCACCAACTGCAGCGGATTTTGGCACCAATTGTCCGTGTAAGTACCCGGGCGTAATTTACAGGTTGACGAGGTGTGGCGAGGGTCATGGGCAGAGGTCCGGTCCACTTGGCCTTGAACGTTGCCAGCTGAACCCTTTTTATCTAAACAAGGTCCCCAGGCTGTACCTGGAATGAAGCTTTGTCAGAGGGAGGGTTAGTAGGTCCAGGGTGTGCAGCCCTTACTAAATCCTGAGTTCGCTGGGCACTGGACTGCAAAGCCTGCAGTCACTGTCTTCTGCCAGCTTAGGTATGAGTGGGGGAGGTTGACCAAATATGTAAAAGGAGTAACTCTATATGAAATGATAAGGGGTACCTCTAACTCTTGGCAAAGTAAAAGGAAGGAGACTCACCCGGTTTTCGCCAGTCTCTACTTTTGACTTACTTAATGTGTCCTTTACAGTTCTATTCATCCTTTCTACCTGCCCTGAGCTCCGAGGCCTATAAACACAGTGCAGTTTCTAGTCAATCTGCGGCACCTGGGCCAGCAATCGAGTTGTCTTAGCGATGAATGCCGGGCCATTGTCGGACCCCAATGCTAGCGGGAGGCCAAATCTAGGAACAATTTCAGTTACTAACTTCTTTACAACTACTTGTGCTGTCTCTGACTTTGTAGGGAAAACTTCTGCCCATCCAGAGAAGGTGTCCACAAAGACAAGCAAGCAAAGATATCTATATTTACCTGAGTTGACTTGTGCACAGACGAGACATCTCGTTGTCACCTGCTGGACCATCTGGTGTAGCTGAGGGATGTAACAGCCTCCCCGGAGAAGTTCAGTCACCTTGGTGCTGCCAAGGTGGGTACTCCGATGTATCTGCCTGATCAGATCTCGTCCCAGGTGTTCAGGAACTAGATTCCGTTGTCCGGAAGGACTTTCCACCCTCCTGCAGTAGTTCCAGTCTTTAAGGCTCCTCCCAATTTAGTTGCCTCTTCAGTATAGGTCGGAGAATGCGGCAGGAGCCATCCAGGCAGAACAGGGAGAATTTGGAGGGGCCCCACTGGTATTTTGTGTAACCTCCTTTGCTGTTGCGTCAGCAAAAGCAATGCCTCTCGCCACTGGGGAATTAGTAGTTTGATGTCCGTTGCAGTGGATGATGGCCACCTCTTTCGGTAACCAGATGGCCTCTAGCAGGGCCAGTATTTTAGGTTTATTTTTTATTTCCTTGCTCTCTGAGGTTAAGAGGCCCCGCTCTTGCTAGAGCGCCCCATGTACATGTGCCGTTGCAAAGGTGTATCTGTCTGTGTAGCTGTTGACAGTCTTATTTTTTCCCCCATCTCAGGACTTGGGTTAGGGCTATGAGCTCTGCCTTCTGGGCTGAAGTCCCATGTCCAAGAGCCTGTGCCCAGATAACCCGGTTTGCAGTCACGACAACCGCCCCTGCATACCTGACTCCTGAAATGTAGCTGCTCCATCCATATACAGTTCCTCCTCGGGGTCCAGCCACGGACGGTCGGTGAGGTCTGCTCTCAGGTCGATAAGAGACGAGTGTTTCAGTGCAGTCACAGAGTGGCTCTGATGGCTCATCGTCCGGGAGTAGGGTGGCAGGGTTGAGGCAGCTGTCTTTACAAAGAGGATCCTGGCGGGGGTCTAGCAACAGCACCTGATATTGGGTTAGCAAGGCCTCCACTTGCAGCAATGGCCCGTAGGCAGCTTGGCCGATCCAGATGCTATAGGACCTAGTCTCTTAGACAAGTAGGCAACCAGTCTGTTCCAGGGTCCTAGTTTTTGCGTTAGGACCCCTTTAGCTGTCTCTCGGGTTTCAGCAAAATATAACTAGGCCTGGTCAAATCGGGCAAAGCCAGTGCAGGGGCACTCACAAGCTCCTGTTTGAGAGTCTTAAAGGCCTGGGTTTCAATTTTAGTCCAGACTAGAGTTCTTTCTTTTTCCCCTGTACTAGCTGGGCCTTTTTAGCTGAAACCCAGTACCCTAACTGGGCTAGTTCTGTTAGTAAGTCTTCAGTAGCCTTTCTGTTCAACCAGTGCAAACACTAGGATTTTGGCGATTTTTTAGATCGCACAGTCCCAGGGTCATGTCTGTTGTTGTAAGTCTTCTGGGCAATTTTTACTAGCTCGGACAGCATTTTACCTTCAAACCCTTCTAGTT